TAACGTGACGTTTAGGCGGTTCGTTTAACTATTATATGTGATGTACGTTTGTTGGTGGGTGGTTAATGACGCGACATTAATTTCTTGACGACGTAATAATAGAATATGGATATTTTCAGACCAAGTGGTCGAATTACCGTTACTTCTTACCTTCGGATTCGTTTCAATTTTGTAAGGTGTTTGTTGGAAGTGACGAATTTCCCGGATCACATGAGCAATCTGCAATAGTAAAGTGTTCAAACTAAACAATCGTCCTACTTAGAGAGGAAGGTTTGATATATAAAAATATGAAAGATAAATTACTTATGGTTGTTTAAGACAATTCTTCCCACTACATCATGAGACAACATTGTTGGTGTTGTGTTAGCGAAAGGCGGTCAAACGCAGGGAATCGAACCCCGCGCATTTGAAGTTCGTAAACTTACCGTTGACTCACTGGGAGGCGGGGGATTTGAGAGACAAATGACCGTTTCCCTTTTTTTTTTAAAGTCAGAAATAATATTTATCATACAGACTTTCACTTATTGTTCCATTTAAGAACGTTTGAGTAAAGCTGAACACAAAGTTAACTTTGGCGGCTGAAATATTCTTTATTCAACACTAGCTGAAATAAAAACTTGTTTGTAACAAAGGATAAGAAATTGTGCTTTTTTTTCTTAACACAATAAGCATTAAAAGTGCAATAAAAATAACATAAAGGTACCAGTACTGAAAAAAAAGACATACTGTTTTCAAGAATTCTATCAATGTGAAATTTGATGGGGGTCAAACCCCCTCATGACCTTCCACCTGTCACCCTATATCACTGTGTCAAGTTTGGTGCTGATTTATCAAGAAATGTAGAAGCGTATAAGGAATAGATACACATACATATTGACGTTTATTTATATAGATAAACGACCCGTGTTCACATAGACTCCAGTTCACCGTGATAAGAGGTCAGGGTTTATTTTGTTTTTTTTATTTTTAGTTTTGCTCTTATTCAGAGTCATCAATGAAAGATGTAATTCTCCGAAAGAGATTTGGTTTCTTTGAATTTCGCGCAAAGCTACAAGAGGGCTATCTGCGCTAGCCGTCCCTAATTTAGCAGTGCTAGACCACAGAGAAGACAGCTAGTCATCACCACCCACCGCCAACTCTTGGGCTGCTCATTTACCAACTAATAGTGGGATTGACCGTCACATTATGATGCCCCCACGGCTAAAAGAGCGAGAATGTTTGGTGTGACGGGGATTCAAACCTGCGACCCTCAAATTGCGAGTGGAGCACCCTAACCACCTGGCCGTGCCAGGCCTTCCCAAAACAGATCTTTTTTGAGAATTGATTCGACCTCACGTATTTTTTATTCCGTAAAAATTTACGATTTAATGATAAGAAAAATATCAGACTAGAACGGCACACGTTAGAGCAACCCACCACCCCCACCTGCAAAGTGTAGCAACCAACCTAAAATATAAACCAAAGATTCCTCACCATCAAAAATGTTGGAGTAGGGACCAAGATCCTATTTCAATCTCAGTGTGTTCTCCAATGTTGACCGTTTTCGAAGACTTTAGTAAAAGCTTCTTATACTAAATAACTAGATAATAAAGATGTTTACTGCTGACTGAAACCTCGAGTTATACCAGTCACAAATGGCAATTAAAACACGTGACTTAATTACTCGTGACATCAAATTTCTCTTATTTTTTCAAGTGACTGTTCTTAAAATAACGTACCATTCTCATTTTGGAAAAGTTAAGTAGGCCTTCTTCAGTAAAATTCGGTGTACCTTCCTCAATAAAAGTAAGATCGGTGAGATAAAGGCCTAAGTAAGGGATACAAGGAGGATCACACCTGGAAGAAGTAAAAACAATGTGAGGATCTAATCTGGAAGAAGTCTAGTTCTACGTGTGATGAATTGTTTTTCGTGTTCTAAGTGTGACCTTAGATTCATTTTACTTGTTCTAGATTAGATCCTCACATAGTTTTTCTTGTTCTAGATGTCATCCTCACATTGTTTTTAAAAACATTGTGAGGATTACATCTAGAACAAGAAAACTTATGTGAGAATTGCGTCTAGAACAAGAAAAAACAATGTGAGGATTGCATCTAGAATAAGAAAAACGAATGTGAGGATTGCATCTAGAACAAGAAAAACGAATGTGAGGATCACACCTAGAATAAGAAAAAAACAATGTGAGGATCACACCTAGAATAAGAAAAAACAATGTGAGGATCATATCTTGAACGATTCATATATTCTGTAAACTTGAATTAGGTTTTAAAGACATTGCATAAAAACTATTATTGTTTTAATAAATTTTCGATTAAACAGACTTCAGTTGATATCATTCTAAGTGAGAATGTCATTCGCTTTATCGTATTTTTAGATCCGATTTTGTTGGACCTGGGAGGGTCAGGTACCTCTTCGATCTCTTTCCTAATTTAGCAGTGATGGACAACAGGGAAGGCAGCTAGTCAACACCACCTGCCGCAAACTCTGTACCTCTTCGATCTCTTTCCTAATTTAGCAGTGATGGACAACAGGGAAGGCAGCTAATCAACACCACCTACCGCAAACTCTGTACCTCTTCGATCTCTTTCCTAATCTAGCAGTGATGGACAACAGGGAAGGCAGCTAGTCAACAACACCTACCGCAAACTCTGTACCTCTTCGATCTCTTTCCTAATTTAGCAGTGATGGACAACAGGGAAGGCAGCTAGTCAACAACACCTACCGCAAACTTTGTACCTCTTCGATCTCTTTCCTAATTTAGCAGTGATGGACAACAGGGAAGGCAGCTAGTCAACACCACCTGCCGCAAACTCTGTACCTCTTCGATCTCTTTCCTAATTTAGCAGTGATGGACAACAGGGAAGGCAGCTAGTCAACAACACCTGCCGCAAACTCTTGGATCTACTTTTTTACCAACAAATAGCAGGATTGACCGTCACATTATAACGCTCTCACGACTGAAAGGGCGAGCATCTTCGGTGTGATAATGGTACAATAATGACTTATCTTGAAGCAATGTTTAATAGTACATGACAACTGAAATGCCGTTCGTTTAATTACCTTCAAAATTACCAAAGACAATAATTACAGAACATGTTTTATTTGTAACCGTGGGCTTGAAATCGATATATAGATGTTAGTCAATAGTTAATTTTGTAACTTGGTAACAATTTACATCAAGAATAGCCCGAAGAGCAAAATGCTTTCGCCATCTATTGAGAAAATATAGTATTTCACATAATAAAACGTGTTTTAACTTCATTAAAAAATTACTATCACCTGTTAAAGGTTCACTTAGAAATAATATAACAAATACGTTCATCACGTGCAACTAAAATGTTTTAGGTGACCGTACAAGTCAGTATCATTTTCGTATTTCTGTTTGTTTTTAAGAAATATGTTTGTTTGTTTCGAATTTCGTGCAAACTACACGATGGCTATCTGCGCTAGCCGTCCCTAATTTAGCAGTGTA